GGATTGGAATCAAATCCTAATTAATTTTTCTGATAGTTTCGCAACATTTTTTGAAAAACGTTGCTAAAAGTCTTAGACCCTTCTAAATTAAATTGATTTAACATTAACCCTAGATCATCTTCACCTCTCCTCATCTCCTCTCCTCTCCTCTCCTCTCCTCTCCGCCTCCTCATCTCTCGTCTCTGCCTCTCCTCTGTCATCTCCACGTGGGTGGTTCTACGTTAAAAATTATCATCAAATTCGTCAAAATACGATATGCCAATGGCAAGCAGAGCTTCTTTGCTCCTGGTGAGAGCCACGCCACTGCAATTCAGCTTCAAACCAAAAAAAGCGCTTATTTTTAAGCAATGAAATCGAATCTTGAGCCTCCTGATATTCGACGTTTGGCGGAAACAGATCGTATTTCCCTCGCCCCACATGAAGTAATCACACTTAATTCACCCGTAAATTTCATTTTGTTGATATACTTGTTGCTTTAAAAAAATTTTGTTCCTCGTTTTTATTTTCTTTATGTAGGTTGAAGGATTTGCTCCTAAAATTCAACAAGTGATAGACTGGTATACTTTCTCTACGTATCTGCACGTGCATTTACAATTTTTAATGTTTCTGAATTAACTGTGATATTTGGTATGGGACTGACGGGGTTTGGAGTGTTTTTTAATTCTTGGGGGTCATTTTCTTCTTCGATAGGGGACTACTGGCTATGGAAAATGTTAGTTCAACTAAAGATTTTTTGTTGGCTTGGCCTATAAAATCTATTCTGCGAAATTTGAACATATTGTAAGATCTAATAACCTAACTCTGTTTGTTGTGGATTCATCATAATAGTGTGATATCTACTCAGTCAAGAAACCTGTGCAATCTCATTCTTGGAAGATTTGTGGCTATTTATCCAACTCTTAAAGAGGTTTCTCTTGCTGGTTCTCGTGGAAGCAAGGCAATGAAGCAAGTCTCCTAGCAAATACAGCCTTCAGCTGTTAAAGCAGCTGGAGATGGTTAGTTTAACATCAAAGTGACATTTTATCATCAATCCTCTGTTTAGTTTGGATAAAAATTAGATGTTTAGTAGATTTTGATAAAAATTGGTGAGATGTAAGGTTTAAAAATTGATAAAAGTTGTGGGTTCTATGAAATGGATGGTTAAAAATGAGTTTAAAAAAGGGGGACCAAAATATCATCTGAAAATATTTAGATAATAAGTCTATAGTTCATAGTAATTAGTGAGTTTGACAGATGGTACTTTGCAGGGACCAGATCTATCCTGTGAAGCAACTGGCATATTTCTTTGGTGTTTGACTCAGAACGTTGATTGCTACAAGCAGTGGGTAAGCTTGTTTTGTACTCTACTGAACATTAATAATTTTAGATTCTGGAATGTCCTACTACAATAATATGGTTGGACTAAAAACTGTAAGGCTGTCCATTATGCAGCAATGTTGTGCACATTTCTTTAAAGGCTCAGTTTGTACTCTTTGCTTAAGCTTGCTGAAGAATGGAAGGAGCTAACAAAGAAGAGGATGAGAAGATGTGTGCAACAGCCGCAAATGTCGCTGTTCGAGCTGCTACTGGGGTTGGTGACATGCTTTCAAGGTGGCAATTAATGATTGAGGCCAAGCAGAAACAGGGAGGACCTGATGTGGCATCTGATTCTCAGTCTGGTAAAGATGTGGCTCAGAAACCTTTACCATCCTCTGCAACACGCATAAGGGAAAATCAAGAAGCAGAAAAACGTGGTCATTCAGTTGCCAGTAGCACCCCTAGTATGTTGGTTTATCATTGCTTAAGTACTAAGTAGGCAAGTTTGGTTTTATAATAATTTTACATGCTGCCCTGCACATTAATGTTGTGTACAAGTAGGTATGAATTTATAGGTCTCAAATAGATGATCTTTTAAGCATGTCTGCTTCAAATCTATTTTTTGATCCTTAGATAGGCAACTACAACATTCTTGATTAGTCTTCTATGTTCTCACCTTAAGTATGAATGCTACTGATGGAGGATCACATTATAAAGCATTTCGAGTTATCGTAGATTGTTTATTCTTACTGTGACTTGGATTAAGACCTTTATGAAATTCGAGAACTGAAAGATTTGAATAATTTGTTTATTCTCATTAAGCAATAGAAAAAGAATCCTTTTTGATCTGTTTAAGTTCTATTTCTTGTCGTTGTTAAGCATAAAGTTTATAAATGACATGAGTTGATTATAAGTGCTGAACATGCTTTTGATAAAGTGTGTTAGCAAGTGGAATTAAATAGGGACTTTATTTATTTTTTTGGTAATGGTATCAGCATTATTCTGTTCCCTTTTTCTTATAGAACTTTCTTTTTTAATGCATGATTTAGAAGTCGATCCTTCCAGTTCCCTTCGTGGTCATATAGAAGTTCTGAAGCCATCAAATTTTGCAGAGTATGAGTGCAATGCCAAAGCATGGAAATCAGAGAGAGAGAGAGGAAACGTGAAGATGGCATTTTACTCCACCCACACAATCACCATAGAGCTCATGTTTCTTGCAAATCACCAAAGATAGTTACATTATAGTTACTTTCCAGGGGTTCTATATTTTGGCAACGTTGAAAAAACGCTCCTAGGTGAGAAGGCTGTTGTTCAGGTGGTTATCCTTGTCATCTCTTGTGTATTGTAAATTCTAGTGAATACATTGCAAGATATCACTATCAATTCATTATCGGCCTGCACTAAGGTTTTTTGTGTCTGATTTTTTGTTTCCTTTTTGCTTGGTCGCATATTTAGTGGGTCCAGAAAGCCCATTTATTGGCAACTATCTATGAGCGAGCTGGACGTACTGAAGGAAGAAAGTGATCCATAACACAAATTCAGTGAGTTGGTGCGATGGAGGAGACGGCAGGTTGTAGCTGCTTCCAACCAAGAGATTATTTCCCTTCCCTTGGCGTTCTTGATCTTCAGTGCGTTTATTGTAGTTTCGAGTTGTATAGAGGATGCAACATGAACTCTTTAATCCTCACTCCTTTTTCTATAGGTTGTGTTGTATCAAATTGTAATATTGTAATGTTCACAAAATTTGTAATGAAATTATCAATTTTTATGCAATTCCAAAATTTATTCACAAAGTGTCATATTTATTCCGGTAGTATAGGAAGGCAGGTATATATAAAAAACGTTGCCGTATCCCTTTCGCAACGTTTTTTAAACGTTGCCGTAAAACGTTGCGGTATAGTCTTTCGCAACGTTTAAAAAACGTTGCCGTCTCCCTTCCTTTGGTTTTTTTTAATATTTCTTATAATTAAAGCGCATTTTTATATATACCTGCCTTCCTATACTACCGGAATAACTATCT